AAAAAATAAGCAATGATGTAGTCAACCAGCTGGAAGCCAGCTAAGTGGAAGAGTATTTCCATGCAGAGCTTTAGGAAATCTATTATTTAAATATTCTGTATAATTCCTTGCTTTTGCACTTCAAAAACAAAGCTGAAAGGGTTCAAGACAGCTCTCCACAAACTGTCTAGTATCCAGAAATTCTGTATTAGAGGAAGTTTCTAGAAACTGCTATGATTTCTCTACAAGGAGATGACTCTGTTTGCTTCAAAAAATAATTTGAAGGGAACATTTCTGGTGGCTGAGAGCATATATATGACAGACTGAGATATAAGAAAATTGATCTGGGGTTAAGCACAACAAATTCTAATTTAAAAAACCCACACTTTTCTTTCAACAATCTGGGACATTAACAATTGGATCTGCTCATTTAGGACATCATTTTATTAAAGGCGTCAGCATCATTTGAAGTCCTTAACATGAGTCTGAAGGGTTTTTCCACTGTAGTTCCAACCAGACGTTACAAACCCAATGCAATTCTGATGCTTGTGCGATGTGGGTCAGGAGAGGTGGTAACTGTATTAGAACTGAAGGAGATTGTTTCCGTACCCAGAGGGCCACACAGCTTTCAAAGGACATCCTCCTGAAGTTAGCAGAGGGAGGATACTGCCACGTATACCACCTTCGTGTGTATGCAGATTGGATTAAGAGATCTCATAATAAAGAACAATCAGACTGCCTTGCTTCTCACACCAGTTATCTCTTACCTTCCTGCAGGGCTTTACCTGTCAAAGGCCCAGGCAGTATCACCTCAGAGGAAGCATGCTGGCTGCAGGGTCTTCTCAGAAGTTCCCATGCTGCACGTGAGGTCCCACCAGCTCCCTGGCCATGGCACAGACCAAGCTACATGGCATGAGGACATCCCACACATTCCAGTAACTCAGGAGACCTCGGGTCCCACAGCCCACTCCAGACAGAGAAGCAGCCTTGCTGGATCTCTGTGACCTCGTTATGATCCATGTACTTCTAAGAATAACCTCAATATAAAGTAAGAAGAATTTTCTTCTCCCATCCCCATATCATGTCCATTACTTTCATTACATTTTTATTGAGATATTTTTATTGAGACATCCCTCAGCACAAGCACCAAACAAACCCTGAATATCTTGAATTTCCCTAGCATGCACCCAGCTCGGAACACGTGCACGTTTCTCTGCCTCAGATGAGCAGGGCAGACACAAAGAGGAGCCCACTCTGCAGGAAGGATATCTGGAGCAGCACAGACCGGGCAAACAAAGGCAGCAGAGCACAAGGCACAGGACGAGAGCTTCCTTTTCCATAGCTGGGCTGCTGAGTGAGACCAAAAAACTGCAGAGAAGCCAGTGATGCCAAGCATCTTTCTCCTGCATCCACTCACGTTTGATAATAACTGTCAGCAAAGTTTGCATTCATAAAAGGCACAGATTGATCACACGCCCTGAAAACACAACCTTAGTGGCCTCTGCTCAAAGCAGGAATCCCTACATGGGTAATAATAATAATACAGATCTTCAAGGAGAAAAAAAATGGGGCTTATCGCAAAATATTTCAACAGACCCTTAGCTACAGCAGCACTAGTGGGCGCAGCTATAATTACAGCAAACCTACATAATGCGTCTGAACTAGCTTAGCCCTTTCCCTGCGAGCAGAGGAGCTGCCACATCAGTAACTCCGTTGCTAGGGCAACTGCTTACTTTCCATATCAACTGCAAACGCGTTGCTATGGAGACGCATATACAAGAAAAATTCCTCTCCACAGCCAAGGACCAGATGGCAGGGAAGTCAGAGAAGTCACGGGCTGAGGGCTGTGCTAACCGGGACGCACACTAGAGGACATTTAGATCTGTGTGCTCACGATAGGATTAATCTGAATGACTGAATTCACAAGTCCAGCAGTATAAACAAAGCCAGGGAACTCCTCTTGTGCTCCCCATCATGTGACATTTTATGCTCCGGCCAACTATTATTAAACTGCTGAGCTCAATGCAAAGAGGTTTGCACAATCAAGGGCTCAGCGTTTTCCCTTCTTCAGCCCTCCTGCCTGCCTCAAGCCAGCAGCAAAGTTACACGCGGTCACTGTCGCCTTGCCCAGGAAGCCTGATGGCACGGCAGCTCTGTGCACTGCAGCAACACATAAGCACAGCTGGGGATAAAACGTCTGCTCCCTCAGAAGATCCAGAACAGGGTAAGCTGGAAATTTCTTTCCATTGCAAGGATCTCACATTTTAGGAAATGCGAGCATCTCACATCACAAAAGGCGAGCATTCACACACATGCAAGAGCTGCAGGCTATTAAATACGTATTTAGCCCCATGAATATAAATGAGCGAGCCCAAGACTGAGGGAACTACTATGTAGAGGGAATCCAAAAAAGAATTAAGTGTTCAGCAGAACTTTTTTTAGAAAAACCATTACCAAAAGGCTATACAAACAAACAGTGGAAAGCACAACTCAGAGAGGAAAGCTTCTAGCTTTCCAGCGTGTGTCAGCGCACATCAGCTAGCAAATGCCTGCAATTCCCAGCACTGATTAACTCCTTCCCTGCACGCCATGTTTCGGAGCCCAGCTTGTTAGGATTTCAGAGATGCCATTTGCCAAATGTTTTTTGTCACATACAAACAGTAAGACAAGCACACTCTAAACCTGTAACTTGCAGAATGTGGCAACGAACTGGAAGAAGTGGCATGGGATGATTCCCTGTAATGGAGAGTTAACCCAACCCCGAGGTCCAAGGAACCCTATGAGATTTGCAGGCTGCTGTCAGCAACAGAGCTGCTTGCTCTGAGGCACTCGAACTAACTCTGGAGGTGTGTGAGAGCACATGAATGTCTTTCAAAGCCAGCAGTTGGAGGTTAGTGCTTTCCAAGTCCACAATTAGCTGTCAGGCACCTGATTCAGCAACCCGCTCTCAGTGCCAGCTCTGCACTCCCGTCCCCACCTGCCACGTCCCTTGGCCAGGACGTGAGTTAAGCGACCTGACTTTGTGCATTTTAAGTTTCAGATTCTCTTCTCAGTTACCTTAATGCTGGCTACCAGCAGGGTGACTGCATAGTTATTAAGAGCTCAGGAGCATGAAAAGATGGAAGGAATTATTTTTCACATCCTATGCTTTTCTAGGGAAGTCTAAAACCCCACCTTGTTACTTCCACAGGCAAGGGCTCTCCCCACACCTTACTGTCTTGCTGTTCAACCACGGCTGTAATCAAGAATTCAAGACATAGGTGACTACTCATGTATTGTGCTTCTCCCCTTCCCCATGGAGAAGTGCTTCATGGTATGGCTCTTGTGATCTTAGAAGGCTGCGGATATTCGACAGATATGCATGAAGACAGGTTCCTCATAGGAAGGAAACGGTAATTTAAATAGTCAGCTTGTAAACAAAGGAAGGGGACAGAACAAATGGCAGCACTAAACACATGCCTTGCCAGTTACGGCACTGGTCGTTTTTTTTAACATGTGCTGTGTGTTAAGGTTTCTTATGGCCTGGGAAAGGATCATAAAAGGTTGGTGTGGCCCTTGCTATTATAGTCTTGCTTCCAAACAAGAATTTGAGGCTCTGGCTTACATGAAACAAGATCCAGTTCAGGAACAGGTTTTTTAATCTCGCACACAATCGTTCACAGCAACGAATTTATAAAAATACCAACATACAGCATGTGGTCTCCAATACGTGGACAGTGGATTTCAAGGAATGACATTGAAAAAAAAAATAGTAAGAAACCAGTAATTTAAGAAAGTAAAGCCTTAAGGAAAAGCAAATTAAGTAATCTTAAATAAAAAGTTGTTAGCTTAGGGTAATGTAAGACTCTTCATCCAGAAAATACCTTCTACTCCAGAGTATTTAAAGTTAAATCGCACCCAAACTATGGAGAACAGCACCACCAACAGAAGTCTCGCTCCAGGGTAACCAGTTACAAGACTATCACAGCACTAACTTAACTGAAATACAGCAGCTGAGAGCACCTATTATTTCTGCCAGAAAAAAAAGTGCTCCCTTTCTGATCTTCAGCCAACTGCAGAGCAGCCAGCGACGTGATTCTACCTGCTATTTAGTTCACCAACCTGTGGGAAGGACTGTGAAATTAATCTGCAGGCCGGTATTTTTATCAGTATGCTCGTACTTTGCCAAAGATTCATCCCAGATCGCAGGTTCTGGAGCCCGCCCCCTCCAGAAAATGCTATCTGCTCCCAGTCTGGTTTATGCAATAGAAGGTTATGCAAAGTCCTGCCTCCGCGGCGCGGCTCGTTTCCCCATTCCCTCGCACACAGCCTCTTCCTGCAGATGCAGCTGAGGATTCAGCAATGAAACCAGACAGCAACAGCAGAGATCTGAAAGCAACAATCTGCTCCCCAGACTTCTGCCACTGCACTGTTCTCAGAAGCGGCAAAACTCCAGAGACAGAATGGCTGAGTTTCTGGTAACTTTCACCTCTGATGCCAGACCTATCTGCTCTGTTTGAAGAGTTTCTGTTTCTACTTGTAAGAGAATGAAGCTTCGCCCTTACAATTCAGTACTACTTCTACTCATTTAGGAAAATAAAGAAAAAAAACCCTCTTTTCTGAGTACAACACAGATCGGGGAAAAAAGAGATGGCCTCTTACGTAAGGCATACCCTTTCACTATATGTTTGTATAAGCCAAGAACAGCAAGCAGCCTATTTATAACATGATTACATTCATCTAGTAGAGCTGGAAACCATTACCACAGCACGGTAACTAAAAACAATATTTAACCACTATGCATGAAGACACCAGCTGGGGAGCAAAGAAAACACACACACCGACTGCTTTCTTGCTGATGTCTAGACAATGAATTTAATAAAATCAGAATGAGCCATGCTAAAGAAATGCTGTTTTTCTGAATGTAATGAACTGCGTTACCAGGGACAGCGCTGTGTATTCTACATTTTACAGTTATGAATACGTACTGGGATAAGCCGGTGAGTTTTATCACAGACAGGCCTCCACAGTTGCAAACTTACCTGACTTCTGTCTTTGTCCACTTTCTTAAAACACTTATTCAAGGACAGATTATGCCTTACAGAATTTTTCCATCCAGTAGGAGCGTTTGCAAAATACGGAAAGTGTTCTAAAATCCAGTTGTATATATCCTTTACAGGCAGTCTTTTGGTTGGCGAGTCCTCGATGGCCATAAATATGAGGCAGCTAAAGGAGTAAGGAGGTTTGCAGTTGGGGTTCTGCTTGGCATCGTAGGGCATGTCCGAATGGGCGGGGGACGGAGGCGTGTCATCACCAATGTCCTGAACGGGGCTGACGCTTCGTAACACCGAGTCCCCAAAGCTCTTCAGCAAGTTCTTGCTCTCGTGTAACCAGTTCAAGTTAGTTAGTTCTTCATCTTCCATGGCCCCTTTATCTAATCTGATGGCAGGCAAAGAGAAATCTAGGTCCTCGTCATCGTGAAGTGCCTTTGACAAATCGCTATCTTGGTACCGCTGGCTCAGTCCGCTGGGAACGCTGATTCCTGAGCCCTCCGGCTTCTTGCTGGGAGGCATGACTGGACCCATTGAGGCAGAGGCTCCTGAGAGTCCCACACCGGGGGGAAAAGAAACAGAAAAAAAGTTATTAGCTGGTAAAGGTACCGCATAACATTTTGACAGCTTTTCCCCACCAGCTGCTTGGCCTCATGCCATCTGTTTTAGAAACAACAGACCCACGTTAAAGCTCACTCCCAAACTCTGGGTAAAATAACCTGAAGTCAAGGCAAGTAAAGAACTTTCAATACATGGAATGATATGATAATGCCAATACGCCTCAGTTCTCTCTGTACTTGAAGCCTTACACAGGAAATCCTAGGGACACACTCCTTTAATAATGAATATGTGTATCAAATCATTGAATACTCCGATCATATCACTTTAATAAGCATGTAAATTTAATTTTTTTTTAAAAAAAGAGGGCTTAGGTGCAGTTGCTTCAGATTAAGTTCAGCTGTTTCAGTCTTGAGGGCAACACAACAGCTCTGTAATAAAGGCACTGGCTGAGGGCTCGCGCAGACAGGCACCAAATCCAACTACAGGCACTGCTGCAGCAGAACTTGCAAAGCAGAACAGGAGGGAGGGAAAGCAGCACACAGTAGCTTTGGGACCAGGGCCAATACACAGGGAAACAAGCGCCAGAGGAATAGAGCACTTTAAAAGTGTATGTAAACAGAGAGGGCTTTAACCTGCACTGAGCTGCCCTGAGCCGTGGCCCAAGGCAGGCAGGAGGTGCTGGGAGCTGAGCGCAGGTTGAGCTGACAGGGATGGGGGGACCCAGGCAGCCAGGAAGGATGGAGATGGGAGCAGCGTGTGAGCAGCAGCAGCACTGCAGGAGCAGCACAGCTTCCCTGCCTCTGCCATGCAGTAAAAGTGCCAGGACTGAGGAGTGGGGGCACGGCCAGCTGCGAAATAAACACTGGTGAGGATCAATGCATTTCAACAGCAGGCAGTCTCCTGCACCAGTGCAGAGATCCCCTGCATCCAGGGGACCACTGACACAATTCCTACAGTCACACTCGATACCGTACTAAAGGGCAAAAAGCACAGGCGGCAGCAAAACAAGCAGTGCATCTATCAGGAAAAATGGGAGGAGAGCCGTTCTGGGAAAGAAAATCAACGGACTTCTTTTAAAGGTTACAGAAAAGTGAAAAAGAGAAGTTCTTCGGGTCTTCCTCCATATACTTCCAATCGACGCGGCCATTACCGAAGCAGAAAGGCACGGCAGAGGTACAGCCGCCACACGGCCGCCCGCTGGGCCGCGGCTGCCGGAGGAAACGAACTGCGCCGGAGCTCCGCCGGCCCCGGGCGGGCACTGCCCTGCGGCGCAGCGCAACTTCGGCTCCGGATGGAAGTTGCGTCCCAGGAGCTTCGGAACAGGGAATTACGCGACGGCTGACAGTAAAGTAATGTAATTGCGCCGTCACCATGACAACACGCTGCTCTCTTTCTGTTTAATTCGCTTATTTCGGCGCCCCCCCGAAGGGCCGCCCCGCGCCCGCCCTCCCGTTCCCGGACGGGAGCAGCCCGGCGGGGCCGAAGCCTCAAGCACCGAGGCGGCACTCGGTACCCGGCCCGGGGGGCGGCGGGGCCGCATCTCCCGGCGGGCTGGCTCGGCCCTAGGAAAGGACGCGAACACGGACACGAGAAGGAATTCGGCGGCCGCCTCTCCCCGCCACCAGACAAAGGAGCGGCGCTCACAGGGGGGCCCGCGACGGAGCGAGCATTTTTAACCCGCCGCCAACCGCGGGCGCTCGGCGGGGTGCGCGCAGCCTCCCGCAGCCGGGGCCCCGCGCGGCGCCGGGGTTGCGCGGCGGCCGCTGAGACGACGCGGGGGAAGGAGGGGGGAGGGGGCGGCCCCCGCGCACCGCTCCCACCGCACTCGCCGCCCGGGCGGGGGGCGCCCGCCCATTGGCCGGCGACGCAGCCAATCAATGCCGTTGCTAGGCGACCGGCGCAGCTCAAGGGCGGGCGGGGGAGGCCGGCGGCGCGCATACCTCCAATGCTGGCCAGATGTCAGCGGCCCTCCGCCCCGCGTCGGGACGGCAACTTCTGCCCGCGCCCGGCGCGTCGCTCCGGACGGGCCCTCGGCCGCGCGCCGGCACCCCGAGTCCCACCCGGGCAGCCCGGAGCGAGGCCCCACGGTCCGGCCCGGCTGCAGGGTCACGGCGGCGCGCGCGCCAACTCCCGGCCAAGTTGCGGCGGGGCCCCGCGGGCGGCGGCGGCGGCAGCCGGGGCTCACCTGGCGGGGGGCGGCCTCAGCGCGGTCCTTCCATGGCTGCGGCGCAAACTTTCATCTGACGGAGGCGGGCATGGTGCGCTCCGCCTCAGCCCGAGCCCCGAGCGCGCCGCGGGGGTCCCGGCGCGGGGCGCTCCGCCGCCTGCATGGGCTCGGCCGCACCGCCCCCCACCCCGCGCCGCCGGGCAGCGGTCCGCCCGGCGCGAGCCGAAGAGCGAGAAATTGTTTCCACCGCAAACAAAAAAGGCGACACATGACCAGGGAGGAGGGGAGAGAGGGAAAACGTGGGCCGGGCCACCGCGCCGGGAGAGCCGTGGAAGGGAGGGAGGAAAGGAGGGAGGGCCCCAGCGGGGGGAGGGCGGGCGGCGCTGCGGGCGGGGGCGGGACGCGGCGGAGAGGCGCGGAGCCTCTGCTCAGCGCCGGATCGGGGGCCGCTCCACCGTGCTACCGGCGGCGGCTGCGCGAGGGGCCACGGCCCCGGCGGGCGGAGCGGGGCCCGGGGTACCTCTGCCGCGGGCGGCCGGCAGCCGCGCCCCGCCGGGAGCCACGCGGCTGAACCCCGAGCGGCGCCGCGGCCTCGAGCGGCTGGCGGGCACCGAGCCGCAAGCGCGGGCACGGGCGGGCTGCCCCTCGGTCCCGTCCCGCAGCGCCGGCCCGCTCCCAGCCGGCGGCCGACTCCTGCGGAGGACGGCAGAGCCCGCGAGCCCCCGGGGCTGCGCCTGTCTGCAAACGCGGCCGGTACGGCGCCGTGCCGGGCTCCTCGGACGGCGGTCTCCGGGCTGCGGCCCTGCTCGGTTCCACCTTGGCACAGCCGCACGGCCCTGGCTGCGAGCCCACCGCTACTTCCGCGGAAAACGAACCGAAGCAGCACAGTTGATTCCCGCGGCCCATAGAACTGTGCTCTAAAATTAGGCCCGATTTCGTCCCAGTGAAGTTATCCTGACATAACTAGTATCAAACTCGATTAACAAAACCAACCTTAGCACGCCCCTCTTAGACCAAGGGGAGTGACCTAACTTAATCTAACACGAAAAAGCAGCTGCCCAGTACAGACGGTGCCAGTTGCGCTGCAACCTCCTGCGTACTGCGCATTTGATCTTGCAGCTTCTGAGTGTCACAGCACTAAAGCACCTCCAAAATAGGTACCAGAAATTGTACCTGAGCCACAAAAACCAAGCGTTTTCCTCCCTGAGTAAGCGAGGCTTGCAGATTTAGCATACTTGTAAATTAATTTTCCTGTCAATACAGAAAAGGCCTGTTGCTCAAATGCACAGTGTGTGTTAGCACAGGAACACGTACAGAGCTTACATGCAAGTCGTTCCTAAGCCAAGAGGAAAAGCATTTTAGCAGTTTTACTTAGAAAAGTTAGGACAGCTGGCCCAAGACCTTACAGGCCTGCACAGTGTTCACCCTGCTTAGCTGGGATCATTACTAGGTTCCATCGCATTTCTTTGCTATTTTCTGAGGTATCGGTTACCTTTTTCAATCTCTGCCATCTGCAAAAATTTTAGACGACAGACCACTTAGTTCTCAAAGCACAAAGCCAAAACACATCTCATCCATTCTCTCAAACAAGCCATTCAGCCATTCCTGCCATAACTCACTCAGACCTCCTTTTGCCGACAGCCTCCCCTCCCCAACCCAGCGAGCTGCTCTTTCGCATTCTTGCATATTTGCAGAAGGACCCGCCAGCAGCTGGATTGCAGCAGGCAGATAAGAGCTGGGGCAGCAGAGCCACACTGCCAGCTGTGCCCTCTGACCGCCCCAGCACTCAGAGTCAGCAGACCATCAGTGTGCACAGCTCTTATCTCATGGCCATTTTTGTTTGTAACCCAAACTAAATTAGTAAGCCATCATGCCACTCATCTGAATTTACCCCATATGCTTTGTGAATCAACATGTCTCCTTACCAACTAGCACAGAGATCTGTCACATTTATCTTCACTTGCAAAGTCAAGAGTCTGAGTATTTGGAGAAGAATTCAGCTAATGAGAAGTGCTCCCAAAGGGAGAAGGGGGAAGACTCATGGGACACAGCATGGTATAAAAGAGGATATTGCATCTTGCGCAGAACCTTATTATGTATATGTTCTATTCAGGTATACAGCTTATTTCTGCTCAAAATTAATGGCAAAATTCCCCGTTAGTGCTGATACAATGAGATCAGTTTCACACCAAGGCAAGCCACCAAATTTACTTGGGTACTGATTTCACCATTTCTTACACAGAGGTAATACTAACTCATTTAGCAAAAGATTGGCAACATCGACAGATGAAAACTATTTGTACATCAAGACCAAAGTATATGCCGTACTAAAGGGCAAACAGAAGTCCCAACAGTGGAGCACTGCACTTTAACCTCATGGGCTAATATACAACAGTCTAATCTTTCCACTCAGATTTCAGAATACCAACTGCAGATGTTTCAGTATCTTATTTAACCAGGATTTCCAGCCGTCTCCCTATATTCCTTCATCTCTTATCCTCCCCTAGATTGGAATCCCTGATAACTTGCTACAAGTAATGGTTGCAAAATGAGCACAGCAAGGGTCACGGGCTCCTACCAACCCTGCACAGCTCATCTACCCACTCCATTCCCCATCTCAGCAGTGAACACCTTCTCATGCCAGCATTACAGCCATACCACACCGCCTCGCTAAATAGTTCTATTTACTGCCCTGTGACCACCCCAGTCTCACCATTCAGTACACGTCCTCTTATCCTCATTTTTAAGTCATCGTTTCTACCCCAATCTCGAACTCCAGTGCCATCCTTGACTGCCATCCTTGTCAATGCTCATTCTCTCTACACCACCATTAAGCTTCCTAATTGAGGCATGCTACAAGTCTGCTAAGCTTGGTTATGAGGATTTATCATTTGACATGCAGCTGTACCAAATACACTCAGTTCTGAAAGACTCCCAGTGCACGCAGAACCCAGCAAAGACAGGCTGCTACCTATGTTCCTTGTAGCCACTGAGATCAGCTTTTCACCGTGGGACATCCCAGAGCTGCAACATTACCCACCAGCCCTTGTTCCCTTCCTTCTTCCAAACAGAAGAACTGGCTTCCATTACCACTCCTGCCATTTCTGAATCTCTGATATCTCTCAGGCAATGGATTTAACCTTGGATGGAGCAGAAACACACTGAGCACCTTCAGAAACTACTAAGAACTAGATCATGAATACAGTAGGTGTTTGCTTGCATCCTCTTTCACAATTCTCTCTACCAGCAATCTTCTCCTGTTACCATTCTGCAGCCTGTGCCCCTTCCTTCACCCACCACTTGGCATTTCCTCTCTTCGTGCACCACAAGCCATTCACATCCACGTTAATGCCTCCACCTTCCAGCACCCTTCCAGGAGGAGTCAAACCTCCCACCGATGACATATCAGAGAGTAACTTCATCCAGCCCCAGCAGTTTGAACGCTTCTTTCTTTTTGCCCACAGCAGACAAACCTGTGTTGATTATTTGCACCAAGCAGCTGTAGCTGAACCCCACAGGAAGTCACTCAAGGCAGCACAGCTCCGCTCTCATACCTCAGGGCTGGGACGAGCACAAGTCCTCTTGCTGCCCCCACCTCAAGCACTAGCTGATGGCACAAGCTGCACGTGCAGTGAAGACCTTACAGAAGATCTATTTTTCATTTATTCATTTGAGACACGTGGAATTACATTTACAAAGCATTTCCCAATCTTTCATTTAATTATCCCTCAAGTTTTCATTTACCTCCACTGGAGAAACCCAACAGGAATAGAACTGAATCAATGGGAAAAGGAGCACCAACATGAAGCTCGGTCAGAAGCGAGAGGAAGCATATCTACAGCACTTCTATTTCACAGTATAAAACAGGATGAATTTCTTATTACAAAATGCAGAGGCTTTATGAAATAGTTCATTTTAAAATAAAGTATGCACATTTACGATGTTATTGTAGTAACACTTCCAGCTTCTAAGAAAATGAGTATGCTTAGCACTAAAATTATATACAGCTGACGAGCTTCCAACAAGCATGTTTCTGTACACGAGTGCAGCTGAAGGAGAAGAGCATGACTGCTAGTTCATCCTACACACATTTATTACAATTGGTCCATATGAAAGATGCTTTGCCAGTCTAGTTACACTAACACACTTTACTAGCAACCCAGGAATAAACCTAGCTTATATTGGTGACAGCACACTTCTGTCATTGCAGCTTATTTTAGCATCCCAGCCAGTGGGAAGCAAAATGTTGCAGGGATAAATGGCAATGTTCAGCTGCAATGGCTTTATTGGTCTGAAATCATACCTAGAAGCTGGTAAATTAATTGCAGCATCAGCCTGTACTTCTAGTGTTGTTGCAATGTCTGCAGAGGCTCCATAAGTAAGAACTAAAGAACTGTTTCCTTGGGTTCACTGCACAGAACTTGCTATCTGCTGTACAGGTGTAACACAGCAAAATTTGGTCTGGAGTTATCTCAGCATTACTATTTACCATGTGACTGCTGAAGTCAAACACACAGGTAATCAGTAGAACCAGAAATCAACTGCATTTTTTGTTCTTTAAAGCGAGGCAAAGGAAGAGCAGCAGCCAACATTGCATAGAGGTGAAGATTACAAGTTTTGGGAAAAACTATAATGGAGAACCAACTTCTTTTACAAAGATCCCAAATTGTGTTGCCAATAAAATCCCTGAAAAGAATTCTTCTGGACAGCATCTTGTGTCCTGCTTCAGTTCTTCTGAACACAAGCTGTAAACTTCATCACAGATTTCAGGATTTTGTCCCTTATTTATGTACCCACACATGCAAAACTAAGTGCAACCAGGGCCTCCGTGACAGCAAAGTTTGTGTTCACATCTCATAAACCGTGGTCCTCAGGAACTGACACAAAAAACAATTTGCTACCACTAGCATTGTAAGCTAGAAGGTGATTGTTTTCCTCTGGCTGTTTGCTTCCATTGGGTGGGTTTTCCAGCTGTGATTGTATTGATTCCCAGCTTGATTTCCAGCTCATTGTACAACAGGATATTCCAGAATGCTTTCCTCTGCTCACCACTCAGCACTACTCTTCCTGTACATTTCTTGAACACTGTTCTCAAAGG